ACAGTTTTAGAGAAGTGAGATTTTCTTGAATCGAACCTTAGATACCAATGCTTATTAGCATGATATGAAATTAGAAGTGATTTATGATGTCTTGCAATTATAGCAAAGGCCTTTTACGCCATGTATTATATAATACATGAAGGAAATAGAAGACATAGAATACCAAATAAGTATAAAAATCATGACAGTTTCTCAGAATGTCTGGATACCTATTGTTTATTAACCAAAAATATATTTGTTGATCAACTTGCAATTAGAAAATGCATAGCTGATATTCCTATTTGCTTTCTCTGAATATATATTTGAGATTAGACAATTTTCCCTATATAATATGATTAACTTTAATGTTTAACTTTAAAGAAATACTGTGGGTAAATTTACATTACTCTGTGGATTCAGAGATATTTTTATGAGTATTTTCAATTACTTAACTGCTAATTTTATTAACCTGAAGATCGGACTACCTTAAGTCTGCTATACGAAAATGTTCAGTATTTGTAATATCATTATAAAAACTTCTACAGCAAAATTATGGAACAAACTTTTTCCTTCATAATAAAGGTGCTCTATCGTCTCACTGTTTCTGTTTTAACATATTACCTCTATTGACGGTAATGTTTATTGTATGTTGTGTTTTGCTTCGGGCTTAGCCGTTTTAATTTTTTTTATTTCGGAAATTCTTACACAATTTTTTTTCAGAGACATTCAAGATGTTGAACAACGATTGACAACAATTCCATAACAAAATCATAAGAAAATATACCAACGAACAGTTAAAACAATCAGGGACCTATATACTAACTATATTAGTATATAGGTCCCTGAAACAATGTTTACAAACAGTGATGTGTCAAGTCAAAGATTCATACTGCTGATGGCCAATTAGTCAAAATTCTGTGTAAGGCGGGATAACTCTAATTGAATAAGTCGCACTTTTTTCCCGCGCTTGTCATCACCGCACGTGAATGAATCGATTTCACGCCTGACAGAAGTGAGACTATTTTGGGTTTTTGGTGCATACTAGCCAGTGCCCAGACATCTTGCGTAATTCACGTTAACAGTCTCACGACCGCTGTCATATCGTCTGTGGTCATAACAGGTAAGTTTATATCGAGGAAATTATTGAATAGCAAGGTCAACAGGTTTTCTGAACGAATCATTATCATCCGCTAAGAAGTATTGGTAAGAGCTGTAAGTCATTTTTTACCTTTATCGCGAAGACGTAACAAGATCATATATTTTTGCATCTGTTTGTCTATTTGTGAAGTGTTTAACATCACGCATTATGTAGATAATATGTAATTCACAACACACGTAGTGCAAGTAATAAGAAGTAGGTGACTTCATACACAAACAGTATACAACAAGATACACATTTTATCTTTTGACTTAAATGAGGTGTGTTGCTACATTTTTTAAAATTAATATATCTGTGAAAATCAAACGCTATCAAAATGCTGCATGCTCTAAATTTTCTTTCGATTTCAATACATTTTGATACATACCGGTAAGGAGATTGCACATTAAGAAACGAGATTCACGGTGACAGGACTATATATTAGTCTTGTCTGTAAAACTGAAGAGTGTCAGATGATATAATGATTTTTTTTTGTTCGTCTGTCTGTTTTTCTGTTTGTCAGTCTCTTTGCCCTATTGTTTTTCAGGAATCGTTTCTTCAATATTACAGACATTAAGCAGATTTTTGGTATGAGAGGTAACCTTGGTGAAGTAAACGAATTTCAAATATTCTGTAAAATGCTGAAGCAAATTTATATTTTATTCAACAAGAATTCTTAAACTTCATGTTTTAGGAACAAAAACAAAATGTTTTCACAAGGAATGCAGTTAAATTTTTCAGACAGAAATTGCTATTTTTCCACAAGTTACCATTACTCAGGCATGATATTTTTTTTGTAGTTTGTCCACCATATGTCCTTTTACAATGTATACTGCAAATGTTTAAAACTGTGCAGATAAACACAGAATCGACCCTTTCCTTATCACATTGATTGACTAAAATCCTATATCCCATTTCAACACATATTTAGTGATTTCATTCCCTAACCAAAAAGAGTTTCATTGAGAGGTATTAAAAAACGCCTTGCAAACTCCAATACTAGTATTCTTAAATTTAACAGAAAAGTACCATATGAAAAAAAAAAAGAGCAACCCTCGAACCAAAGGGGGGAAATTATGTTCATTCTTTCATTACATAAAATTGAACATATTGAACAAAGAGGGGAATCTATGCATGCCAGATATTTTTAAAAAAAATTCAATTCTTTTGCCATCTATGAAATTATCTGGATTTCGGTAACACAATGCAATCCCGAGGTCGCCATTAATGAATTAGCGAGAAAATTACGTCATTTTGATTAAAGCACCAAAAATTCAAGTGATTATTATTTAATTAATTTTCAACTAAAACTGCGCAGTTCTAAGTTCGAAAATTCATTAAAGGGGCTAGGGGGTTGCAGCCATTTTCAGACTATTTCGACCTCCTTTAGAAGAAGAGTACCATATAAAGACATACAAAAATGATCAAATTTTTAAATTAAATGTATGATTTTTTTCTTTGCCAAATGACAGTTGACAGTTTAAGATACCGTATCTAAAAAGATAAGTTGAATCTGGTGGTTAATTTGTTGACCCCCAGCCTCCTTAAAGCAATATGAGCTGCAAGTTTTTTCTCGGAAATTTTTGTTGCAATATTGTACAATGTAATCAACTATTTAAATGACAAAAAATGAACATTTATAAACTTCTATTCTTTATATTTCAGACGGAAGAACTATTTATATGCTTTGTTTGAAGCAAAAATAATATTATAAATTCCTTTGTAGAAATCTTTCTTCTGAAAACAAAAATAAATCTTTATATCAATCTTATTAAGCATAATGGTTCAAATTACATACATATCTATCATAATAACATATTTTTAACAGCAAAATTAAATTGTCCAAAATGCAGCTCATATTGATTTTAAAAGCCCAAACAGAGCTTTTCTCTTTCGCCAAAATGGTGTAAGTTGAACTAAAATGAATTACAGATGAGATCCTGTTGACATTATTTAGAATTTTTCCTGCTCTCATAATTAATCCCCAGCCGGTGAAACTGGAGGGGATTATATGTTTTCTCTAAATCTGTCTTTCAGTCTGTCTGCCCGTCCGTCTGTCTCTCTGTCTGTCCCACTTGGTGTTCCGCACTTTTTTTCTAGATGCTTCCGTTATTATTATGTCCCAACGGTTACTCGTGTATTCTATTAAGATGGCTTTCTTAAACAAACAAAAAAAAAATGTTTTCTCTGAATCTGTCTTTCAGTCTGTCTGCCCGTCCGTCTGTCTCTCTGTCTGTCCCACTTGGTTTTTCGCACTTTTCCCAGACGCTTGCGTTATTTCTCGATCATGACAAGGAGCATACGGCGGGTGTGACCGTTCAGGGATGCTCACTCCTCCATGGCACCTGATCCCACATCTTATATTTTGGAGGTCTGTGTTTGTTCTGCTCCAGTTTTGTTATGTTAAATGGACTTTTAAGTTCGAATGCTGTTCGTTATTTCCACATACTAGTACTCTGTATTTCATTGGATATATTGAGCCCATTTTTGGTGTGTGAATATATCTTTAGATTTCGTTCCACTTCAATAATTTTTTATTAAAGTTACGACCTTTTTAATGGTTTTCCACACTTTTTTTTCTAATCGCTTGCTGATATTGAGCTGATTCTTGGTATGTGAGTGCATCTTGATGAGTTACAGGTCAAGTTAACATTTTGTTCCACTTCAATATTTTTGAGTTAAATTACAGACTTTTTAATTGGAACCAGATTACACATGTCGCTAAGGCAAATTTATCAGAATGCTTATCTGATTTGCAAAACTTTTAGGATAATATTGCATCAAATTTTCAATCAGTATCTGAGGTTGCAAACTTGCAGAATAATTTTACAGCAAAGTTTAGGCTTTTTTTCAATCAAGTCATTAAAATGAATTCTTTTATATTAAATTGTTTATTTTGAAAACATCGCAGTAATCTCCACTGAGAATTTCACAAAACCTTGTATTTTGAAGGAATTTTTGAACCCTCGCTCACTTGCATGATTTGGGTTACTGGGTATTTTGCTTCTTTTCCTGGGGCTTTTTTTTTTAAAATAAAATATATGAAAATAACGAATAATATTCAAAAGTCCATTCTAACAATGCAAAGCAGGAGCAGAGTAAACACAGACCTCTAAAATATCAAGAGGTGGGATCAGGCGCCGTGGAAGAGAGAACATGCCGAACAATTGTTGCTGTCTCTGAGGTCAATTTCGGAAAAGTATCATTCAGGTATACACAGATCTCAAGTGGCGAGGTAAAAATTGTAAACCGAGGGTTGGGAAATCATCGTATTTACCCTGGAAGCAATATTTTATTTCATTCTTGTCTTAAATTGTACACTTATTAATTAAGCAAACCTTGCCTTCTTTGATTATTTATCTGTATTGATATTCTTGCCAAGAGTAGTAGCGGGAGAACTGGGATCCAATTGAAAAACAACCAGGACGGCTTATACGTCCGGGCTTTACTTAATTATAATTTCTAATCTAATTTAGAAAACAAAATGTTTATGTTGATTAGCACATGCACGTACGGCGTATAACATACTAGAACAATTGGAGAGCTCGAGTTATGAATTGTTAAATCAAATACAGTCAAACTTGTCTTAGCAACCACCTGTGTTAAGTGGCCAGTTTCCAGACTTCCCAAAGGTGGCCTCTTAAACCAGATTTGATTGTGCATTATTATAAAATAAAATATTTGATGAACTTTCTTCAAATTAACCAAATTAAAATAAAGGGGCATTTTAACATATTTTAAATTCAATGCTTCTTTACCGAACAATTACTGTTTCTAGTTATGATCTATTTGTCGGATTATTTAGTTTAATTTTGAATTTAAACCCCCGCCACCCCCCCTTTCCCCAAATCTCCCGAGAAAAAAATGAAAATTAATACAGTAATAGTGTTTACAACAACATTTAATAAAGATAAACTCTACATCAGCACCAATTCAACATAATAAACATCCTAACTCTTAGCATAGCACTTTGGTGTCATTAAAAATATCTCTATGTAGATAAGTTGTTAAAAAACTGTCAAGCACTCCAAACAGTTAACAAAGCACGCGCGTCCTGAGATTCGTTGTCCTCTTAAATTTCATGAAAAAAATCACCACGGTCTCCATAGGCGTTCCTCTTTCAAGGTCATGGATGCTGAGGCATAGATAGGGCTGGGAATTAGCCCAGTCTTTGTGGATTGAAATAAGTCACGTGACATGTCGCAGGGTGATGATGAGAAGGGTGTGTTTTTTTGTTGTAAAGATTTAGGCATAGAGTCCATCATGTTTTGAGATTGTCTGAGGTACACAGGTACATGGTCACTGTAAAGATTGTCTGGTACTACGTGAAACGAACCGGACACCTGTACATCGTTTGATGCTGAATTCGTGAGAAATCCACTTCGTGGTTGAGAAAGAAGGCCATCGGAATGAACACGACCCAGGCCGCCCTGCACTCGAGGAATCTGAACGTGCAGAGGCTGTACGTAGGTTTGTCCGTTCATGACTTGTGTGGAAGAATTCCCTGTCTGGACACAATTGGATAAATGACCAAGCAGTCGTCCTCGGACTTCATCGTTAATTCCTTGAGCATTGCCGAGATACCTGGCTACTTCTGAGGCACATTCTGTGAATCCCATGGAGTATTTGACGGCAACTGTGGGGTCAGCAGCGACGGCGGACGTGATTTGCCGTCTCTGTAGGCTGCGCAGGTACTTGACCGTCATCTCCAAAATGTCTGCTTTCTCCAGTTTGGAATAGTGTGTAGTCTGTAACAGGAAAAGTGTCAGTGTATTTACTTTTTTCATTCAATTACAACAAGACAATAGAGTTTTTTTTTCGTTTTTAACACTTGTACTCTTAAACTTATCTACAGTATTCCATATTTTTCATCAACTCTGAATTTAAAATACTAAGTACTAGTATCTTGCAAAAATATTATTTACATTATATAAATTATAAGTGTACTACTTTTGTTGAACATTTTGTACTTACATCTTTTTTCATGGCTTGCAGGACAAGGCTTTTAAGCTGAACAAGACAGTTGTTAATTCGCGCTCTTCTTCGCTTCTCCATCAGTGGTTTCTTACTCTGTAATGATGAATAAGTTGTATTAGATTATGTATGCTTTAAACATTGTATAAAAATGCATTTTATGAGCAAAATGTTTATTTTATTATTATATTTAGCGATTTAATGTATAATTGTATATGTTAAAATGAAAATTGAAAGTTTTAATTTCAAACAGTTACCTTTCGTGAGAGAATTTTATCCTCGGGAAAGTTTCTGTTTTCTTGTTCATAATCCTCCATGATTAAATGTGTATTGCTATGTTCACAATATTACTGCACATCCGCTTGGTTTGGTGACAACATTCAACAAGTAGCTGACCAGCTGTGTGATTGAAACATTTATACCTCGTGACATGTGTACAGTCGCCGGTGTGAAGCCATTTCGTATCTCTTTCCCACGGTTAGATTCCGTCACAGACAACCAATCGACGTACGTGCAGTTCCCTGTACGACCGTGGCTTAAAAAGTACGTCGCGTTCCATTGGTCAGAAAGTTCCGTTGTATTCAATATGGCTGTGTCGGAATGTCAATCAATTTGTTTATCATCTAAAATCAAAATAGGGGCACGTGCCACGATAATTACACAGCGGACCCGTAGTACTGTGGGAAAACTCCGCCTTTCAAAAACCCTAATCATTGTGTAAATATTAAGCGTGATAAACGCTGCCTCCTGACAATAGGGGTATAGAGCGGCCTCGCGTCTGTCTTATCAACAGTTTGCCTTGTTGTGTATAGGAATGTCACCAGAAGAGGCGCTTGCGGGCTCTTGTAATCTCGTCATATAAAATTTGTTGAATCATGATTATGTTGGCGATGTGTATGTTTTTAACCGCTTACTTGTCCGCGTTGGTAGTGTGGTTGAACATTTGATCGAATAACGGCATCCAAAAATACAGCTGTCAATTAAATGTCAAAATGTAAAATATATGAACTGAGATATGAAGGGTTAAATCGGTACTGCAACTATAGACCTTGTTAAAGAATCATAATCTGTAAATTTTAACAATCATATTAGTACATGTTTAAGGAGAGCGTAAATTACCCATCCATTGGGCACATTTAATGAACGTGCTAAATCTGATTTCAATGTTATTGCACAAATTTAAAAAAAAATTAATGATTTTTAAAACCCCTCATGTTAGCCTCCTTGACTCGATGGCGGCTCGTGGGAAAATGCCGAGAGTGAGAAGTGAAATGGCTCGTATTGTTCGAGAAGGACCGTGATACCATGAGAAAGCTTACAAACACCTGTGTGTTGTTAGTACAGGTTTTTCAGGCAAGGGAAATTAGGGTTTATGTGGGATCCTCCCATCTTTCTATGGGGAAAAGAAACGCAATAATATTAACAGTGTGGCTACGGGATATTGAATGTCTTACAATATCCAATTGGCAAGCAGTGTTTCAAGATATACGGAGCTCATGGGAACCTTGTACATTTCAGATTGTTAAATGGACCCCAATTTTTAATCTTTTCTTTACCCTCATGAAGAGGTCGCCGCACTTTATTTTTCTTTTAGATTCCCTGTTTTCAAAAAAAAAAACGAAAAACATTTAATCAAGCTATAGTAACGATGATATCTCACACGCGACAAGGGTCTACATTTACCAAATAAACGTGTGAACTCTTCATTTAAAAATGTCTGGTCTTTGTTGTGGTGATTTATTGAGGGCCATTTTAAAGTTCTGCGACTGTAGCTTCGAGAAAAGCTATCAAAACAACTGACAAAAAGAATTCTGCAAGTATAGAATCCCTTCATTCTTAATATGAATTTATGGACAGATTTTTGTGCAATGCTAGAAAACGTACTATTGCTTTTTGTAGACAATGTAAGCACTTAACACGAGGGAAAAAAGACAAGTATTTTCTGTACTAGGAAGAAGATGACGGGCATATCTCACATTAAAATAATTAATTGTACATGGTTTTTAACACCAAACAATAATTTCAAGTAGAAATTCAAATTAGAAGTGCATTCAAATTAATTTGGGCGTGATTAATTTCCTGAAATTAAAAGCTGGTTTGTTTGTGATATTATGCAGGGCGGACGACGGCATAAGATGCTTCTCTCGAGAAATTACCAAAACAACGTTTACCTCAATAATTGACGGAAAAAAATTCTCCCAAACCAATACAAAAAGCGGAAACAATCTACTATACTGTCTCGTGGACGAGACATCGAAACCTAGTCGCCCTCAGGCCCACTGTGTTCCCAGGCTCATCCAACGTTGGTGTCAATCAAAACGCACGTGCACGCCCGCGCGCAATTATATCAGATCATGTTGTGTGAGAAAAAATATGTTTGGGCTGTTTTTGGTACTAATTTAAAAACATGTTATCAGGAAATTGCATGTTTTCCCAGTAGTGTGAAAATGAAATAATACTTATGTAATTTACGTGACATTATTGGTTCAACAGGAAAAATTCAAAATCCACTACATGTATATAAACTGTATTTCTCTGATGCGAAAATGCTCGCACTTTTTTTATTAAATTAAAAGGGAAAGAAAAAAAAAAACAAAAAGACTAAAAAAAAAAATTAAATGGTTATTATACTGAATTAACAAACGGAGAATTGTTATTACATTGGACATTTTATATTGTTTCTATCAGTCTAGGATTGAATTAAATTTAGAGCTTTCTCTGTCCTTCCGTTCTTGACGGATTTCTTTTCCGTTTTCAATTCTGCAAATAGCAACACCCTTGCATTCCGATATGTTACTAAGCAAAACTGAACCATTTCTATTTTACTCCACCCTACTCTCAACCCACTTGTGCTTTTGTTTTTAAAACAATTTTATTCATTGTAACATGAATAGGCTCAAACAGCTTTCCACTTGTAATACTGAAGAAAATTTGTTACAATTATTTATAAATTCTTAGCTTGGAAAAAAAAAATGATATGTTTAAGATATGAAATTTTTAAAACGAGAATTGAATTTCGCGGTCCCATCAAAAATATTTATTTATTTATTTTTACATAGATTGACAGAAAGCAATTTGTAAATATCTCGACTTTTTAACGTTTAAGGGCGTTTTATGAGAAAGTTGTTGAATGTGAAGTGTTATTCTTGAAATAAAAGCAGACTTTCTCGGCTCTCCATATTACTTGTAATCTTTTGTACCCAATGTTTTAAGTATCTTAAAATTACTACAAAGAACCCACATTTTTTTTTATTATTTCCACAAAAAGCAGGTAAACGAATAATTGTCAACAAAGTAATTAATTAATTAGTTTGGGTAAATGATTTTATCATAGATGACGGTTTGCCTCAATGTGTGTGGGACTGCAATCATGGGAGGGCCCACGTTCGATTTGATCGGTTTTCTCACGGTGATCAATAGCAATGTCACAGTTTTGTCTGTTTCCCGTGTCGTCGTAATGAATACGTAGTAGTGACCTGTGTGTGCCGACCCGTCTGATTCTCAGATAAAGCCGACGTCACAAAGTGCAGGTAAACCGACAGAAAGTTGTCACACGATCAAACATTGGTTCATTTTTGCGCATTTGAGGATATTTTTATATTATCATATTATTGGTACAGTTTTTCTAAAAAAAAGTATAAGCAACGTATCGCAGCACACAGCTTCCGTGAAGTTAAAATTTAGCTGTTTTTCCCAAGAATTAATAAAGTTTATTTCACTTTTGGGAAATCCGGTTTGTATCAATTATCTTGGTGAAACACATTAAACGCCAGTACCCAGTGTATGACAGGCGCCTGGACGAAGTCTAATGGTGCTAGTGATCGAAACAACAGTTTTGTTTATTTTTCATTTCGACATTTCCCATTTTATCCACAACATAAACCATAAATGCCCACTCCCGTTTGGAATCGCAACATGCTTTGTTTACCAAAAGCACGTGTATAAACTTACAGAATTTAATTATTAATTAGCGGGTCAGTAGAAACAAATGCCTTTTATCGGAGGTTATCCTAACCACTTCTACAATTTGTTTGATTTACATTTATGTCCTCCGAAATATTTTGTCTAGGATATGGATATCTTGGATAAATCAATTAAACACACGCTACCTATCACTCTGCACACTTGATGGAAACCTGTGGATTATTTTCTCTTTGAACTTTGTCACAGTCTTCCGCTCCCGTGTGGCGGAGGAATCTGAAATGTCATTCCGCGGGACAGAAAATTCCATCTTCCTACCATTTTGATGAATTTGTCGAAACACAAAGCGCGAACGAAATTCCTCTTTTATCGAATTACAATGTTCAAAGTATCAGAGAAAGCTGATGAATGTCCCAGTGTACAGCTTATGCGGAGAACTTTGATTTGTTTATAAAGATTTATAATTAAAAAATGTACCGAACCGAACTCTCAGTAAGCATGTGAGAGACCTGCTTTCATGTATATGTACATACTTAACTGTATAATCAAAAGAACGCCCTGTGTATGATTTAATTATTATAGTAAATTTAACATAACAATCACATTGCTTTTAATGGAAAATAAACTGTAAATCTTCAACCATTGCTTCCCTCCCACTAAGTGGCGATAAGACGGCCATCTTAATGATGTCAAACGAAATCACTGACCAGAAAAGATGCAAATTAAAGTAGAATTTCAATTAGCATTCGCCCCCTGTCAAGGCATTTACATTCCGGAGAACCAGTAACATCAAAGCTTTAGTAATTTTATCCCTGACTTATGGATTATCCCGCGGTCCTCTGTTGACCGCCGGCACAACAGGCAGCCGACAGCGCGCGTGCGAAAAATGGCGCGAACTGAATATAAATGTCCATTTAAAAAGTCGGTGATAGAGAATCAATTTGTTTAATAAGCTTAAAAAAAGTAAATTTTTTAGGGAAAAGAGGAAGAAAATGTCAGTGAAATACATGGATAAAATGATGCTTGAGTTTCTTGTCTCGTGCTGTTCTTCACATGCTTTATGAATTATATTGTGACTCGCACGCCTCTACTTTCCTTCAAAGTTTTGTATCCTAATATTCTCATCTTGGCGCCATGTAATATTTGAGTTAAGTTGGTAAAAATTATTTTTAAGACACCAATTAATAATATCTACTTATACACTCTTAATTTCATATTTGGAAATTATGCAATTTTTTCCGGATTCAATGTAGAAATAAAACTTGAGATGCGTTGTTCTTGATTGCAACAACCTATGCATTCATTTAACAGTAAATACTCGGTTAAAAAAAATTGTTATTAAATCTGAAAAGTCATGGAAACACAGAAAACTGATTATTTATTTAAGCATTGAATTCATATTTTGGGATGTCTTCGGTCCTATAACACCCCTGGCCGTGCCGACAAATTGAATACCGCGCGCGCGTTAGCGCGGACATCCCAAAATATGAATTCAATGCTTATATTTACATTCTCTAATTTTTCCTCTTCATAACTGCTTATTTCGGTAAACTTTAATGTGAATTTAGGGCCCTTCAAAACTGGTGTGCTCTATATTCAATTTGTCGGCACGGCCAGGGGTGTTATAGGACCGAAGACATCCCAAAATATGAATTCAATGCTTATATTTACATTCTCTAATTTTTCCTCTTCATAATTGCTTATTTCGGTAAACTTTAATGTGAATTTAGGGCCCTTCAAAACTGGTGTGCTTTATAGACGTAAGAGCCTTTTGTGACGTTTGTGACGTTGCAAAGT